CCTACTACCTTCTATTCCTACTACTACCTCCCTACTTCCTAACTACCTTAGCTACCTACCTTACGCTATCTACTACCTACCTACCTACCTGCCTACTACCTACCTATCTACGCTACCTACCGTACGCCTACCTCCTACGTAGCAGACTCCACGCTGCACTACCTAACTATCTGGCCTACCTTAATACCTACCTTCCTATCTATCCTTACCTACTACTCTACCATACCTACCTACCTACATCCTACCTAACCTTCCTATTTTACCTACATACTACCTACCTAGCTCCTACCATACCTTCTATCGTAACGTACTACGCTACCTATCTACCTACCTACCTATCCTACTACCGTACCTACACCTACCTACCTACCTACCTGGCCTACAGCCTACCTACCTAACTCTGTCTACCTGTTATGAACTAAACATGTAGAACCATAGAGATTGTTCTTCCTGTGCGTAACAGAATCTCAAGCAACGCCGCGAATCCACTGCTCAAGGCTCAATCCTCCTCGACGACGCGGTCGCTCACGCACGCGCTGAGCCAACCGCCGCGCCACATCGTTAGGCACGAGCGTCGCTGCTCGACCCCTGCCTGCCAGCGGCCAGCCCTGGTCGACCGGATCGCCGCGGCAAGCGTCGCCGGCCCCCGCGCAGCTCCCCTTCTCTACGGCGATTCAAGGGAGGATGTGCGATGCAGGGAGGAGGAGGAGCGAGGAGAGGAGGAGGGAGAGTGGCGAGACGTGCGCGGACTCGGACGTCGGTCTCGCGGCGAGACGCTGGTCCGAGGACATCTGGGACCTCGATCGAGACTCCGACGCCTCGGACGATGAGACGGAGAGGACGGGAACGACTCTCGGAAGGGCGTCTCGCGTCTCCTGCAGCAGCCGGCCGCCTATCGACGTCTCGGTTCGGCAGACGCTCCCTCTGAGACGGGTGTCGAGATGCGTGAGACTCGGAACGACTCGATGCCTCGCGGCGTCTCCACGGCGACGAGCCCTGCCTCGTTCCGCGAGACGGAGGAGCGAGATGTCTCGACGAAGACGAGCGACGACTCGACGCCTCGCCGAGACGTCTCGACCGACGACGACGACCCCGCGAGGTCGCGGGGTCGAAGGTCAAGCTATCTCGGGGAAGTCGATCCTGACTCTCCGGGAGCGTGCAAGATGGACCGACCCCTCCTCGTGCGGATGCGCCGACTCCGGCGCCCCCTGGCGACGATGCGTCGGCGGTGGCGCCCCCTGGTGCCTGCACGTGCGCGCGCGACCCATCAGACGACCTGGCCGCGTGGTTGCTAGGCAATGAGGCGAGGTTAGACGGGAGCAGCTCCATCTGTTCGCAGCACTCTGCCGCACAGCTGAATCTAGGTGTGGACGACGACGTGGCGCCACCTGGTGTGTTAATGAATTCGAGGCAGCAGCAGCAGCAGCAGCATCAACAACAACAACAACAACAACAACATAACCACCTCCAACAGCTAGATCATCAACAACAAGCTCATCGGGACCACTACCAACAACAACAACAACAACAGCAACAACAACAACAAAACAATCACTACCACCACCACCCTCAGCAGCCTCTTTCTCCCTCTCCTCCTCCCCCCTCTCCTCCTCCCCTCTCGCCTCCTCCCGCTCCGTCCCCTCGTGACGAGACAGGCCAGCGGCGTGCTGGAGGAGGGCGGGCGCACATACTTCACCCTCCCCGGAGTTGTCTCCTCCGGTTACTCCCCCGAGAAACCCTTCCCGGCTCCTCCCCCTCCGCCTCATTATCTTTCTCCTCCGCCTCCTCATTATCTTCCTCTCTTCTCCTCGCCTCGCGACGCTCTTCCCTCCCCTCGCTCCGTCGCCGCGCGACGACGACGACTGGATCACGGACGACGACTGGATCATGGACGAGTCCCCGATGCGATCACCACGCCAACCCGTTTCCCGCGGCGCTCCGCCGCCCACGGCCGCAGCGGACGACATCGAACTCGGACCGGTGCGGCGCGACGAACGACGCCGGTGCGCCACCTTGCTGGCGGACGTGAGCGGGTGCGCTTGCCGCGACGCCGCTCCCGCCCCGACCCGATCCCACCGTCGTCGCGGCGACGATGCGCCGGCGACTTCGCGACAAGATACGAGGTCGGCGTCGGTAATGGGGTCGGCGCGGCGGGGCGGGCGGGAAGATGGCGAGCGTGCGCCGGGTGGGGGGTAGCGGCGGAGCGGGGAGGAGAGCGACCGTGGTACATGTACGTGCTCGGAGGTCGCGAGGTCGCGCGATCGCCCTCCGACGCCATCGACGTCTGCCGCCTGAGCGTTGTCGTGCCAGAGCGCGAATCAGGAGACTAGGCGGTGTAGGGGGCAGCACGTGTGCGAACAGGAGACCGGCATCTAGGCGGCAGCATGTGGCAAGCAGGAGACAGGCCTCTAGGCGGCAGCATGTGAGCAAGCGGGAGACAGGCCACTAGGCGGCAGCACTAGCATGACGAAGAGATCGTCTTCTAGGTGGCAGCACATGAGCAAGCGGGAGACCGGCTTCTAGGTGGCAGCACTAGCATGACGAAGAGATCGTCTTCTAGGTGGCAGCACGTGACGTGGTAACCTAATCAAAAACATGTGACAATCAGATCGTCAGTAAATTCGCAGAGCGAGAAAACTATTACTTTGTTCCTTATACCTCGTTGTTTGAAGTTGTCATCGCCTACTGGTGCCATCTAATGTGCAATAAAGCAGTTGCTGGCGACATCCATATCAACAGCATGTGTTGTGAATTACGGAACGAATTTATGTTAAAGTCAAATTAAGAATTTAATTTAATGTGAAGACGTTATTCATTGAAGATAGGCACGTATTTTTTCTAGTAGTGCCGACATGTATGTTCTAGAGTTGGATGTTATTCACAGTGTGGCGACAAAGTCGAACAAGCGCTTTTAATTCCTCTGTAATTCGGAGCTTAACTCAACATTGCCTGTTCTTGTTGTATAGCGGATGCAAACAAACTGGAAGGAAAAAACCTACGTACGTTTAACGTACGGTATTATATTATTGTGATGTATGTATATAATATATATATATATATATATTATAATATTATGTATTAGTGTGAAGTGAAGTGATAGAATGCCAGTAAAGATCTCTAAATGAGCTATGAGTTGAAACCAAATAAGTGGGCAATAATTAGCGTAATGTCGCGAGCTTAAATTTACACGAGGTAAAGCTGTGAGTATAGACTATAGCATGTCATCGAATGCGGTTTTTAGAGATGATGCTGTGTATGTATGTATGTATGTATGTATGTATGTATGTATGTATGTATGTATGTATGTATGTATGTATGTATGTATGTATGTATGTATGTAATGTATATGTATGTATGTATGTATGTATGTATGTATGTATGTATGTATGTATGTATGTATGTATGTATGTATGGGTTGTATGTATGGGTTGTATGTATGATGTAGTATGTATGTATGTATGTAGTATGTATGTATGTAATGTATGTATGTATGTATGTATGTATGTATGTATGTATGTATGTATGTATGTATGTATGTATGTATGTATGTAATGTATGTATGTAAGTATGCTGTGTATGTATAGTTTACATGAGTTGAGCAACATGCTCAGTGACCTGACAAAGCTGTGAGGTAGACTAACATAATATTCGGATGCGATTTTTAGAGTTCGATTTTGATAGATACCTGTTTAGGTGTAGTTTACATGAGTTGTTTGTTGTACGAGTGACTGGTGTTTTCCGTGGTTTTTTTACGGGTGAACGCGAGGCTAACAAACCTTGTAGTTCTGTAGCTCTTCAATTGTATTTAATCCACGAATATTTTTTTACTTGGATTGTTTTATTTTTTACTGTTGTGCCAACTCACGCGACCAACGTGTAAATCTGGTGTTCGTTGAGGCGGCAGGAGCTTAATATATTCAGAAGTAGATAATAGGGAATCTGCTATCCTATTATCTACTTCTGATTTTATCCATTCATGTAATGCCCTAGCTCATACACTGGTTAGAAACAGGGCTGGATTTGGACATGGTGAGACACTCAGGGCCGTAGACTGAGCAAATTCCTAAAGGGGGGGGGCAGTGGCGGATCCAGGATTTCAAGGAGGGGGTGAGAAACAGGTAGGGGGTCTGGGGGTCGTCCCACAGAAAAGTTTGAAAATGTAGATCGCAGGAGATGGTATTTGACTTTGAGGCACTTTTGAGTACATGTGCAGCCTTCATTCTGACTACGACAATTCTCTTTTAGTAGAACAATTTATCTTTTTAATTGTGCTCCAAAATATAGGGGGCAGCTGCCTCCTTGCCCCCCCCCCCACTGCAGGGTACGGCCCTGGCACTAAGCTATGGGAAGCTGTAGTGTCACAGCTCAGTACCTACATGTCAAGGACACCGTTCAAGGATGTGTAGGACTTAATAGGTCAGTACGTGTCAAGAACACAGTTCAATGATATCTTATAGGTCAGTGCGTGTCAAGAACACAGTTCAATGATATCTCATAGGTCAGTGCGTGTCAAGAACACAGTTCAATGATATCTCATAGGTCAGTGCGTGTCAAGAACACAGTTCAATGATATCTCATAGGTCAGTACGTGTCAAGAACACAGTTCAATGATATCTTATAGGTCAGTGCGTGTCAAGGACGCATGAATCAAATCGACTCACTGTGAACAACAGGCATATGTGACACAGCATAATATAATAGATCTATTACACAGAAAAATGAATAAAAACTCTTATTTTACTGCTGGCTCGTCATACCCATATATATGAAGGAAGTTGTTGAGCATATTTCGACGTATCAATGTACTAGTATTATTTCACTCGAGATTTGATATCTGTGCGAACAGTCTGTGATATTCCACCCGTTGTATTCCTGTGTTTTTGTCGCCGTTAAGAACCTATCTATACTAGTACATGTAGAATGCTAGAATGCTACGTACATATACTGTACATAAATATATATAATACATATACTATACATAGTATAGATATGTTGATGTTATAGTTTTATCGTAATACCTTAATACTTTTACACGCGTATTTCGGGCACCAATAGCTTTCCACACTTGCTACATTGAATAACTGTTGAACTTATGATTAGCATTGTGTTTGGATTGTGTACGATGGATGTAGTAATTTGGAAATTTTTGAAATCGTTTCTATTTTCGGGTAAACGTAGAGTCGTTATTCAGTGTGACAAGTGTCGTGTTTATATGGTACCCGATTTTCGTGCAGGAAGACTGCAGTATTACTATTAGTGTTACACTGAACACGCTCATGCACTACTTCATAATCAGAAATCTTTTGTTTTACCATCGACTTGTTTATCACGTGTCGAATATATAGTTTGTCTACTGCATTAACGTAAAGAAATCTCATTCACCTGCTATAATATATAGTTTGTCTACTGCATTTACGTAAATAAATCTCATTCGCCTGTTATAATATATAGTTTGTCTACTGCATTTACGTAAATAAATCTCATTCGCCTGTTATAATGAAGAAAGATTGCACTGCATTGCATTGATGTTTTGAGTAAAAAAATATTGTTTGTAATAAATATGTGATTGTGCATATTGTGTGTTCTGGCTCGTTTATTTCTGTCTGTACTCTCAAGAGCCGATATTATTATTATTGAAGCAAAGCAGTATAGACAACGTTTTGAACGTATCAAATTCAGTCTTCCTCATTTCAATAAAGATTTCTAGCGGCTATAGAGGTTTGACATAACCATAAGTCGTGAGATATCCTAATATATTATATATATATATATATATATATATTATATATGACCATACAGTGTATTATGCGATTACTAACGTGCCACATTAGTATACGCCATATTTTTCGCGTACATATATTTTCGCGAGTTCAGACTTGATGGACAATTTCGCGGTCGGTGAATTATGAATTATATTCACGTGTTGTTATTTTCGCGGTCGGGGACGCGTTCGCGAAAATCGCGAAAATTAAACCACCGCGAAATATACAGCGTATACAGTATTCATTAATGGTACATATACACATTTTGAATAATTTCTCTGTTCCACACGGGAAATATCGGATAAGACTTTATTACATAATCATCGGGGTGTGTGTCTGTCCTGATGCATTTAGAGCGATAGTCCAGCTGTAGAACACCTAACGTGGTTTTAGCGTCCCACAAATTTTTTTTGCGGATTTTATACCTTTGAGGGGTGCTGATTAAGAATCCGGATGATGCCGGTCTGGTACCTTTGGGCATTTTGCGTAATATGCAAATCAAGGCGGCCAATTACTGAGATTTCATTATTTGGCCATAACTCGCTTATTTCAAAAGATAAACGTATGATTTTTGGGTCTACCCCTAAGTTTTCAGGGTCTCTGATTCAGATTAGGCCAAAGCTAAATGGTTTGCTCATTTCCATATCCATAATATGTAAATTAGGGCGGCCATTACCAAAATTCCATTTTGTCCGCAACACGCTTATTATAAAAGATGACAAAGCAAATGTGGTGTCTACTTTAGNACACACACACACACACACACACACACACACACACACACACACACACACACACACACACACACACACACACACACACACACATATTTATTTATATTTCGGCGCCCTTTCAAGTGTTTACACATGAATAAAATATTAGCGTAGTTCCGTCTCGCTTTCACTGCATGTGATTCAAGTTGAATTCCAGTCGCGGTCACGGCACATGGTAATTTGGCAGAGGCATGGACAGCCCCATGGGCTAACAGAGAGAGAGAGAGAGAGAGAGAGAGAGACAGAGAGAGAGAGAGAGAGAGAGNCTCTCTCTCTCTCTCTCTCTCTCTCTCTTCTTCTCTCTTTCTCTCTCTCTCTCTTCGTCTCTCTCTATCTATCTCTCTCTCACGCACTCTCTCTCTCTATATATATATCTCTCTCTTACGCACTCTCTATCTCTCTCACGTCTCTGTCTCTCTTTCTATCTGTCTCTCTCTCTTGATCTCTATCGGTCTCTTTTTACACCGCGTCCACCGTGTTTCACAACGACGTACGTAGACATCTGGTCGCTACGAGAAAATCTCACACAGACGCCTCGCAGAAAATCGCATCGCAGAAAATCGCAACATGAACCAGATGTTTGTTGTTATCGCGTACGCGCGTGCGTGCAGTCAGGCGTGTAGGAGCCAGACTGGCTTCGCGTTTCTTCTTTTTTTTACCCTAGCACGCGCTTATCTCATCTCCAGATGCCGGGGGAAGCTGCTGCTGGCAAAAGGTTACGCGTGTTGTTACGGTTGCTAGGAGAATCACCGCCGCGTCGCAACGAGCGCCCTCTGTAGACAACTCGGCGATTTTTTACGGGAATTTTTTTGAGGCAATTTTTCGTGCGAAATTCGTGAGGTTATTCGATGGTTGGTTTGATTTTGATTGGTTGGTTTTGATTCGTTGTCGAGGGACAAGGTATGTCGTTTCTCTAGCGGCGAACGATTAGGTTTGTTGCGAGAGAGAGAGAGAGAGAGAGAGAGAGAGAGAGAGAGAGAGAGAGAGAGAGAGAGAGAGAGAGAGAGAGAGAGCCGAGAAGAAGAGGAGGGATGAGAGAGAGGAGAGGAGAGAGAGAGGAGAGGGAGAGATGAGAGAGAGAGGGAGAGCGAGGAAGAGGTGAGAGAGAGGAGAGATGGGAGGAGAGAGGCAGAGAATAGGAGAGAGAGGGGAGAGAGAGAGAAGGGAAAGAGAGAGAGAGCAGAGAGATCGACGAGAGAGAGAGAAGAGAGAGAGAGAGAGACAGAGAGAGAGAGAGAGAGAGAGAGAGAGAGAGAGAGAGGAGGAGAGAGAGCAGAGAGAGAGCAGAGCGGAGGAGAGAGAGAGAGAGACTAGAGAGAGAGAGACAGAGAGAGACAGAGAGCAGGACAGAGAGAGAGAGACTGAGAGAGACGACTACGACGTCAGATCGAGGAGAGAAGAGGAGAGGCTGAGTGACTGATGAATTGACCGATGAGAGGAGCAGAGAGAGAAACAGACAGAGGGAGACAGAGTTCGCATTCACTAGCGACGTGAATGTAAATGACAAATGTTTCGCTGATTACAGCCGAAATAATACGCACGTGTCGGTCCCATTCTCAATCGCACCGAGACTAACCAAGATCACCTCCCCGGCAGCGAGCCTAGTGTTGTTGTCTACTGCTGCTGCTGCTGCCTGCTTACTACTGCTTGTTGTGTGTACTGTCTGCTGCTGCTTGCTGCTGTTGTTGTTGTTACTGCCTGTGCTGCCCTGCCTCTGCGTGGTGGAATGTGCCGGTGCTGCTGCGCGCTTGCTGGTGGACGGTGGTGCTGCCTTGCTGCTGCTGGTGGTGCGATGTGGATGCCTGCCTGCGGCTGCTGGTTGGCGCGTGGCTGCGGCCTGCTGCTGCATCTGCTGCTGCTGCTGCTACTACTACTACTAACTACTACTACTACTACTACTACTGCCTGGCCTGCTACTACTACTACTACTTACTACTACTACTGCTGCTGCTACTACTACTACTACTACTACTACTACTACTACACTACTACTACTACTGCTGCTGCAAGTGCTGCTGCCCTGCCTGCCTGCTGCTGCTGCTTACTATACTACTACCTACTACCGCCTGCTGTGCTGCTGCCTGCTATACTGCCTGCTGCAGCTTGCCGCCGCCGCCTGCTGCCTACTGCCCTGCTACTGCTACTGCTGCCTGTGCTGCTGCCTGCTGCTGCAGCTGCCGTAGGCCTTGCTACTACTGTTTCACTGTTACTACCTGCACTGCCTGCTGCTGCCTGTGCTGGGTGCTGCTGCTGATGCCTACTGCTATTGCTACTATTACTACTGCCTACTGCTGCCCTAACTGCTCTGGCTGCTAGCTGCTGCTGCAGCCGCCGCTGCATGCTGATACTGATGCTGCTACTGCCTGCTGCTGCTGCCTGCCGCCGCTGATGCTGACCTGTACAGCTGCTGCTGCTGCTTGCCGCCGCCGCCGCCGCGGATCTGCTGCTGCTGCTTGCTGCGCCGCTGATGCTGTTACTGCTACTGCTGCTGCTTCGCTGCTGCTGCTGCGTCGCTGATAGGTGTTTTACTGCTTATGCTGCTGCTGCCTGCTGCGCCCGCCGCTGATGCCCTGATACTGATGCTTGCTACCTGCCCTGCTGCGAGGAATCCAGTCAGGAGCAGCCGTCCTTCCGGCGTAATTTATTGCAGTTGAGTGTTGACTCGGAGGAGAGAGAAGCTCAGAGCTAACATGACGAGCACATCACCAAGAAGCGAGCGACAAGTTCATGACGTCAGCACCACTAACGACTTGTTCACTATCTTATTGCGTAACGTTTAACGTTCAGATATAGTTTAGATACCAGCACAGTTACTTCATTTTTAGCTCAGCTGACGAAGTCAGATGCAGCTTGTAGAATCGCCCATGATTGTCGTCTCCACAATCCCGCTCGACGTACGGTCTTGATATTTGGACGTCGGGGGCATCGCGAAAAGGACTCGGATGTTGAATTTGGTGGGTCAAGGGTCAAAGGTCAAGATGTCTTAATGGATGGGCGCGAATATTTCCCTTAACTTAACGGTATAGGAGGAAAGATTCGATGTATAGTGTACACCCTCCCCCTACCCTGATGTTTTCTTGTTTACTTGTTACTCTTTTCCCTTTTTTCTCCCTCATCGTTTAATGTTTACTGTTCTGATATACCAGCGCAGTTACTTGTAGATACGACGAGTTTCCTTTTTCCTTTCTCTTTTTTTCCCTCATCGCTTAACGTTTCACGTTGCGCGATTTAAATGTCCAGTTACTTGCGAGTTTAATCAACTAGCTATCAATGCCCTTCTTAGAAGCTCGGATCAAGGATAAAGGACGGCAAGCAGCAGGCGGGTGAACGGAGAAACTACGTGCATGCTAAACCACCGTGAAACTCTTGAAGAAGGAAACCTAAATTTTTAGACAAACTACGTGCATTACTAAAGTTGCACGGCGAAAAGTTCGAAGAAGGAGGAAAACATTTACTTTTAGAGAAACTTCGAGCAATACCAAACCACCGTGAAAGTTCGAAAGAGGAGGTACTCTTTACTTTTAGAGGAACTGCGTGTATACTAATCGCATACTAAAGTTGTACGGCGAAATGTTCGAAGAAGGAGGAAAACCATTACTTCTAGATATTCGCGAGTAACTGTTTCTTGCTTCAAGAAGCCATCATCTCCACAGCTCGCCATTCTCGTGACAAAAAACTTCATATCTAATAATATCAAGAGCTAATGAATACCTATTAATTAGCTCTTGATAATATCTACGCACTGTACGCAAAACACAACATAGCGTGTGTGCGAACGCGCGAGGGCGCGCGAGAGAAATGTTACTTCGATTTTTTTTCGACTGCGCCCACCAGGAGAAATATTCGACTGCTCACACACGTCGAGCAAGATTTTTCGATCAGGAGGTCGTGTTCATGTAAGAGGCTCTAGACGAGGAAGAGAGATGGGACTCGCTGAAGCAATAACGTGAGGTTAGTAGCTTGCAGGTAACGACTGGATCAGTACGGTGTTAGTTAGCTATCTGGTTGGCTAGTCAGCTAATTCTCTAGCTAGTTAGCTG